AAATGTAGAACGAAGAAAAAGAAGGCGATGATTGATCGAGTGAACATTGTTTTGTCTTACAATGGCTATTTTATAGTTTAAAAAGTAGAGAATTTTACTTTATGACTCATTATAATAAAATATTATGCGGAAATAAGTTTTATTTTTTTTTTTGTATATTGATAAACTTATTTTAATTGTATTAAATTATGTGTACATCCGACAGGATATGAAAAAATTATTTTCTTTTCAATAATAACATAGTTGACTAATACGTTTTTTATGTTTTTTTTTCAGTCAAGAATATTAAGAAGAGCAATGAGGTTGAAACATCTAATTACAAAAAAAAAGAAATAAAACTTTGAAATTTTTCAATATTAAAAAAGGATTTTTTTTGTTCTAAAATTTGAATTATATAAATACATTTATGGATAAATCTTTGATGTACTTAAAGATTGATAATAAACAAATCAAAATTTCAACGAAAGTTTTTTTTTTACATTTCATCGAATATAGAGAATGTAATTATAGAAATAATAACGTATGAAGTATAATGATATAAATATGAAGAAATACTATTTTCTTTTTAATTTCTATAATTGGTTATATAACCAAAAAATCATGATTCTATCAAATAATACAATAATAATGGTAAATTTTATGTTTATTTCAGAATTGAATGAAATTTTATACCAATAGAAAAAAGTAATGCCGAAGGTATCGATTTATATAAAAAAAAATTATTTAATAATTCAACCGAAAAACCATTACATTCTCATATACAAGCCAATCCTATATAAAAACGCTTACAGTCAATAAACTAATCACTTAATAGTACTTCTACATTCTTTAAATATACTAAGATAAATATATTGTAAGTTGAAGAGAAAATTAGACAACATTTTGAAACGTTGATTACAGCTTAGTGTAAGCATGCATACTATTCTATTAATAAAAAGGAAATATATTATATTTATTTTTAAATCTTAAGATACTTATGTCAGGATTTATAACAATTTAATAAATAGAAGTTCGATTTTTCTAAAAAAAAGAAAAAACCTAATGATCGTTAGATATTTCAATTGAACTATAAGCGTTTACATACGAAAATGAATATAAATCTATCTGTATTATATCATTTTACATTCTTTTAAATTGTAAAAAGTAATCGGATCATACGCTTCAAGGCTTTAAAATATAATATTAAAAAAAAATGATATATCAAATTTTTGTCTTGTAGTAAAATAAGCAAAAAATTATATATAAAACTTGAACATGAGAATTTTTCTTTATATATATTCTTAAAAATCTATTCAATATATAGAATGCTGACAGCGATCTGTTAGTTCGGAAATGCAGGAAAAATCCTTCCGTTTTAATAATTTTATGATTAGTTTTTTCAAACATTCTCTCATAATAGACAAACAACATCTTATTCATCAAAAAATATAAAATAAAAAGATCTTGAAGTCTAATAATCAATTTTTATCTTCTGGTTTGTTGATTCATAAAAATCTAAATAAAACAATCAATTATCTTTTCTTTTTTTTTTTTTATCTTTATTTATTAAATAATAGAACAATACTGACAACAAGAAAATTAATACAATTGAATATTAGATAATCATATTTCGGGGTTTTTTTTTCTCTACATATATATGACATACATAAAAAAAAAAGAAAAGAAATTCTGGCTTGTTTTTTATCTTTCTTTCTTTCTATTCGTTAATAATTGAATATATTAAATGGTTTTAATTGATACCATTGAGCTATTTGTTTCGTTATTTGTCGATGACATACATCATTCCAATGTTGATTAATTTCATTAGTATTATTTCCAATTGAAAATATACCAATAGGTTCATGTTTCATATGATGATCATAATCAAAAATTATTATATCAAAATGAATATTTTGTAAATCATTATCAGGTATATGAAATGTAAAACATTCATTATAAACAGGACATTGTGTTGAACGTATAATAGTACTTCGTTTTTTAATTATACGTTGTCCTTTATAGAACATATAAATTTTAAAATAAGGATCTAAAAAATACAAAAATTCTCTTAAATAAATATAATCAAAGGAAAAATAATATTGACTACTAACTTATTAATCTTGTTGTATTTATACGAGGTAAATTTGATGCTTTTAAAACAATTAATGTTATTGTACTATCGATTGGTTGATAACATAATGATACGAGCATTTGACCAAGTTGTTGATTAGATAACTAAAAAAAAATAAAACCAAATGTGAATATTTTTTGTATAATAATTATAATTAAAATATATATATATTTTTTTTTAATATCCGGTACCTGTTTATGTCGTGGTGTTATATCTTGTGTAAATGTTACTTCAAATGATTCAAGAGTATTTGATGATGTTCCATCCGGTAAAATAATAGGAAATATAACTTCTCCAAGAATTTCATCTCGTGTAAATGTATCATATGTTAATATAGTAAAAAGAAGAGATAATTTATTAGTATCATTTATTTCACGAATATTAGAAAATTCAAATAATTCATCATACATTGGATGATTATTTTTTTTAATAATATGAGTACGCATTGATTGAAAAGATTCTATAGAAAGATAATAAAAAAAAAGAAACCTAATGAAATTATTCATTAAACTTAAAAATATATATACCTTGAGTATTATCATTATTTGTTGATATAAGTTCAATACGAACATATGAATCGATTAATGTTGGTTGTCGATGACGACGATAACCAAAAAGATTTTGTGCTCGAATAACACGAACAAATAATGAACTAGTTATTTCATTCCATCGTAAACTAAATATTAATGAAGATGGTTCATTAATATGTTCCATTGTTGATGAATTTGATAATGATGATGATGATATTGTTGATGAACATTCATCTTTTTCATTTTTTTGTTGTTTTTGTTGATTAATTAATGTTGATTCAGGCCATGAAAATGAACTTTTTATTATTCGTGTTACTTCATTTGTTTGAGAATTATTATTATTTATTAATGGTGATGGTGTAACACTATCAAATGATACGGATGCAAATTGTCGACGCCAATATCTTGATATACTATAAGATATATCTTTTGATTGTTTTTTACGTTGATTTAAATATGTATACAATCGATTAATAGTTAAACCAACGATACATATAACAATCACAATAGATACAAGTATTGTTACAATCCATATGAATGAAAATGGATCGCCTAGTTATATAATAGAATAAATGATATATTCATGTAAATGAAAATAAGATAGAACAAATTGATAAAATCTTTAGAAAAACTAGATTAATGAAGAACTATGATTATATAGAGACGTTTCTGGATAAATAGATGATTTTATATAAAAAATGAAATAGATTTTATACTCACTATTTTTATTTGATGGTTGTTTTGAAATCATATTTTTCTTAAAATCATTAGTTACATCAAAAAGCATTCGAATAAATCTGTGTTTTTCATCACTTTTTATCAATTGTTTAATCACACAATGTGTTATTGAATTGCATAAACACTTCTTTTTCTATGCCTGTTTTTTATTCCAAAATCATCTGACAAATGAATGATGAGTATTGCTGTTGCTATTAGGCTTTACATTATTTTTCTCAGAACTCCACAACTAACAAAGAGAATGAGCAAGATTGAAGTTTTCTCTTTCTCTCTAACGCACAATGACAAGCATCGTTATTTGACGTAGCCGTCATTCGTGCACATAAATGTTATTCCATTCTGTTAGAAGGAATGCCAGAAAAAAAATTGAGGAAAAGAAGAAGCGAATCTACTTATACTGTTAGTAAGTAATTCAGTATCGACAAAGCAAAGCAGATGGAAGGCAAAATGAAGAAAAAAAATGAGGAAATGGAAGAAGAAATTTCTTTTTTCTTCCCTGTATTTGCTAGTTACCGTCATTAATAGAAAAACAAAAAAAAAAAATTGACAAGCATAAATTATACAAGCTTGCCATGATGTAATTTACATTCTTTATTCCCTGGCTGACTGTAGTCATTTCAAAATGACATTGAACACATGGAAGTTAAGACAATTCTCTCGATGTTTCATTTATTTCCCTTTTGATATATAATACGCACGACAACATACATAGCCACTTATCAAGACAAAAAAAACACGCACACATTGCTTTTTTTAACTGTTGCTCCAAAGAAATCTATACAGAGTAGCAACAATACAAAGAAACATTGAAGACAAGGAACAATAGATGATGATGATGATCACACATACATATAAAAGAAAAATGTATGCATATCACATTCATTTGCGTGCACAAAAGACTAAGATACAATTATCGAACATGCGCACGCAAAACAAAAAAAAAGGAAACAAACAAATAATAATAATAATGATAATAATCTACTAAGACAAACAACGACAATACATATACACACACACACACAAAAAAAGAACAAAACTCATCACATTTATTTTGGTCAGTTATGAAAACAAAACAAAACAAAACAACAAAAACAAAAAAAAGAAAAAATCAATGCGACAAGATTAATAGACCACTACAACAAAACTGTTGCTTGTACTTAAAATTTTCTTTTCTTTTAGATAGAGCAAAACTAAATGCAAATAGGAAGTAAGTGCGGAGGAAAAGAAACTCGAACAAAATACCATCAAGTTTTGGCACATATAGAATTTTTTTTTTTTTTTTGACATATGTCAAAAATAGTCAAAACTATTTGTCGGAAACAAAAAAACAAACGGGAATGTAACGAAACACAAATTGATCATTCAACAGTACATCCACAAGAAAAACCATACATATAAATACATAGATAGATATATAACGTGTTGCGTATACAAACACTATCATTCGACACACACACATATACACAAATATATGTAAGAAAAACAAAAACTAATCGCACAGCAAAAAAAGAAAGAACATAACGAAAGAGAGTTGATTGACTGTCCTATTTACATAAACATATAGAAGAAGAAGAAAACTTTGATCATAATGACTGAAACAAAGAGACAAGAAACATTCTCAATCACTCGCGAAGACAACGAAAAACTTCGGAACGATTAAGACGAAATTGTGTCCAACAACGTGGACCACCATAACGAAATGTATGAGAATTTAAACCATTAGAAGAATTATTATTTGTTAAATTTGAAAATGGTTGTTGTTGTTGTTGTTGTTGTTGATTTATATCATTATGTAAACGTCGATCAGTACGTCCTATAATAAAATTTAATTAAATTATTTATTTATAAATTATTAAATAATTTACGTCGATTACGTTGAGATTTAATTGTTGTACTATTTTCTAATGTATCTAATTCATTTTTTACTTGTAATTTTTTTATTATAGGTGATGGTTCATCTGGTTGACCACGTTGTAAAATTCGATATTGAATTTGATTTTTTATTGGTGTTGAAGATTTTTTTTCTTTTTTTTGTAATAATAATAAATCATTAGTTTTATTTTTTGATGGTTGTTTATTTTCGTCATCATTTAATATTGAAGGAGTTAATTGATTCATATCTAAATTAGAAAATTTTAATTTTCTATAATTTTTTTTTAATAAAAATTTAAAGATTATACAGAAAAATCTTTTTATTATTATTATTATCTGTAAATTTAATTATATGATAGTTATCAATCATTGTTATCTGTTGAAATACTATTTTAGAATATGATGAAAAATATTTAGATTTTCTGTTGATGATCTAATCAAATAACGAGATATGAAGAGAAAAAAAAAAGAAAATGTGTAGGAAGTATGGTATTTACGTATTTTTCTATTAGTAAGAAAAAACAAGTACAAAATTTAATATTTAAATAAAATAATTATTTTAGATAAAGCAAATATATTTCCTTCCTCAGTTAATTCATATCCATATGTTTTTGTCTTTTATTTATATTTGATTAAACTCAAAAATACGTAAATCAATCTATATAACTATTTTAGAATTTTCATTTTTTGTTATAATATATAATTAAATTAATTAAACATACTTAATGTTGTCAGAGTTGATGAACTATTTTCTCTCATAAGTAATGTTTCTGTAATAGATGTATTATCAGTAACAGTAAGTGAATCATTTTTAAGTATTTGACAAAAATGTCGTTGAATTGTATCTTGTACACTTAATTGTGTTTGAAGTTTATTTGTTGATAATGTTGTTTGTTGTTCATCAGCACTTTGTGTTGTAAGATTAGCAATAATTTTTCGTGAATTTTTTCGTTGTTCACGTATCGATGTATTATTACGAACTAAAAAAAAACAAAATACAAAAATAAATATTATTACTTAATAGTTTTTTTTTTTTTTTTTACTTACTAAATGAAGATGTTTGATGATCAACACCAAAAATTTTTTGTAATATTGTTGCTTGTCGTGTATTAGCTGGTGTTATATTTTCATGATATGTTGTTGTTCGACGTCGTGATTGTGGATAATGATGATGATGTAAATGAGCTTGTTCACGTCGTTTAATATATTCATTTGCATTATCTGAATCACCATTTGATGATGAATAAATTCCACATTCTTGATTTATCCAACGACGTAAATCTCTGAGAATAACAAAAAATTTTAAATATATAAAATTTATTTTTATTTTTTTGTAATTTTATACTTTATAAATGGTATAACCATAAAAAAAGCTTTTGAATTAAGACCTAATGTAACTTGTGGTGTTGTATCACGTCTATGACATGGTAAATCAGATATACGAAACCAACGCATTTCCTAAAAGAGATAATTTTTTTTATTACTTAATTACAAATAGACATACAAACAAAAATATTTTGTGTATCGAATATTTTGATTAGAAAAAGTATCATTAATAGATCTTTATGTAAAATATTTATGAAATGAATGTTTATCTTCGGGACTTAGAAAAAAAGACTTCTTTTTTTTTGACACTGTTAAAATTAATACATAAAGATTCCCATGTTACTATTATGTAACAAATAGAATTCTTCAATTTGATGTAATCTCTGAAGTATAAAGAAGTTGTTATTGTCTAGGATAGTCTTAGCATGAATTTCTTCTACTACACTAAATGTGAAGTAAGATGATTTTATAAATTTGACAAACTACTTATGAAAAATGATTAATTTTTATTCGATGATTATAATAAAACTAAGAGAATTAACCTTTTTTTTTCTAAAATGTTTAAATTTATCTTGATATCACAACTAAACATATCGAACTATCAGACATTTGTTAGAATTAATAAAGATTTTTGACTACGGACGAAGAAATTTCTTTCAATGATTAATTACTTTTATTTCACGATAGTACGCATCATTTAGAATCTAATGAGCTATGAATACACACTGAAAAAAAAATCTCCTACTGTTGCTTTATTAATACCAAAACTATGCATGTTTTATATTAAAGACTTATGAGGGAAGGTCACCAACTGTTCAATCGCTTTTGAGTCGTAACTATGTGCATCATGTAGGTCCTAATGAGCTATGAATATCCTGAAAAGAGTTCAAGCCGCTAGCTTATTATTGTCGAGATACTGCATTTTTGTGGTATCAATACCGTGGAACCAGAAAAACTGAGTTTCGAATTTTGACTTGAAACAGGCCTCAGTGAGAGTAGTTTATTGTGAAAGTTTTAGGTCTTTTGGTTGTTCCTATCCTAATATGCAGCTAAAAAGGGTGTTTTTACAGTGCTCATATACCCCCCGACGGGTTCCGATGTTCTTATTTCAGAATAGGAACAACCAAAAGATCTGAAACTTTCACAATAAACTACTCTCATTGAGATCTGCTTGTGTGTCAAATTCCAAAACTCAGTTTTTCTGGTTCTACAGCATTGATACCACAAAAATGCAGTATCTCGACAATAATAAGGTAGCGGCTCGAACTCTTTTCAGGGTATTCATAGCTCATTAGAACCTACATGGTGCACACAGTTACGACTCAAAAGCGATTGAACAGTTGATGACCTTCCCTCGTTAGTCTGTATAAGAAATACTGGACAAATTCCTTTTCGAATTTCGACTTGGAATATTGCACTGAAATAGACTTTAAACTGCATATTCCCAAATTGATTTGTCTACTTTCATTCTATTGTAAGAATATCGAATCTATCAATGTAAAAGTTCAAGTTAACATTTTCAAAAGTCAGTTTTTCCGATTTTTGATATAAAATATGCGAAATATTTCATAGTAATGAAGTAACAGCAGGAGACTTTTACACAGTGTATTTATAACTCAATAGGATTTCAATAATGAAAATTGTTTTGAATTAAAAGTAGTTTATCATTTAGAAGAATTTACTATAAATTATAAGATTTTCATCTTCGAATAACTATGTTTCCGAATTACTTGAATATTCTATTATTTTACGTGTAAGATATAACTATTTTTTTTTGTTTTCAACACTCAATAGAACGGTCATAATTTTGAAAATCATCGATACAAATTTATTTTTTTAGTTAAACTAGAGTCTATTGCATTCCATAGAAAATATATATTACTTTAATTTCATTTTTTGTTTTAGCAGCAAATTTAGTATCAAGTGGTACATGTTTAATAATATATAATCGAATAAGTTGTCCATTAAGATCACGTTCTAAATATTGATCATCAAAAGCACGATCTTTCATATCAAAACCAACTTCTTCCATAACCTCAAAAAAAACAAAAAATTTTTTTTATCAATACATTCAACAAAAACAAAATATATGTTACTTCTCGTATAGCACATTTTAATGGACTTTCATTTTCTTGTACTTTTCCTTTTGGAAAACCCCAACTTTCACGATTATAAAATCCTCGTACAAGTAAAACATGTTCATATGTTGGATCTAATAAAACTGCACCATATGTTGGTACACTTAATTTATAACCACGCCAACGTGATAGAATAATATCAAGATTATGAACATAATCACGTAAAAATGGACAATGTAAAAAAACTAATTTATAAATTAAAAATAAATAGAAATTTTCTATTTTAATATTTTTTTTTACTTTGTTGAGCAAATTCTTTTATATTGCATACATGTAAATCATTATAATCTTCACAATAAAAATCAATAAAAAACCAATGAGCTAATTCAACAGCAAATAATACACGAACAAGATCTTCACGTTGTTCAGCTGGGATATTTATAATAAAACGACTATAGCAAAAAAAAGACAAATTTTTGTTTTTTTTATTAAAATATAATAATACCTGCATAAATCGTCTAAAACTTTAGCTGGTATTTGTTGATGTTGATCTGGTGACATTATTTTAGATGATGATAAATTTAAAAGAAAGGGACGGATGGAAGAAAAAAAAGGATTTGGGAACTGTTTGAAAGATAGTTTTACATCTGAAAAAAGGGAAAAAAACCCAAATGAAATAATAACGAATTATTTAAAGAAAAAAAAAAATATATTTGCAGCACATGACAAAATAATGAATAATCATGTTTTGACAGACTCAATCCTATGTTCGTGTTCCTCTCCATACGGATTGGATCAAATGATATATATATTGGTAAACTATGGATTGATACACATGATGTTTATTTTTTTCTTGTGTTTTATTCTAATAATATGGAAATTATTTTATCTATGATGAATTTTTTTGTAAGCAAATTTTTTCGATTGAATAAAAAAAAACAAACAAACAAATATTTTTTTTTTGTTTAAAATTTTAGAAAGAAAAAATTATTATTATAATTTATTTAATTAATTTTGTCATATAAACGAAAAATAAAGATTTAAAATTCGAATTACACTTTTCTCTCTCTCTCTTTTCGATTATATTTATTTAGAATGTTCTTTCAAAAGGGGGTAAGAGGAAGTGATTATCAGTAGATGATTGTACTTTGATCTTTTCTAATCGAAATTGAATATTTACTCTGAAAATATGAGATTCAGCGCACTCTACACATTTCTTGAACGAATAAAGTTTGTGAACTCGGCAGTGTTTTATCCAAGATTTTTTCTCCGGAGGGGCGATTTGGATTTCCGAGGGGGGGGGGGGGGGGCAAGCCATGTATTCATAGCACGATTATCACAAGTCTCGGGAGGGCGAACTCGATTTTTGGGGGGCGCCGGGTACCCCTCTGGATAAAACACTGGAACTCAAACTCGACTAATTCTTGCTTTTGTATAGAATATTATTATGATCAAATTTGTATTTTGATTGCAAATTTTGAAATTTAAAATGCAAAATAATCTTTATTAGTTTAATTTTTTTTGCTCATGGAAAGTTTCATTTCAAATCTTGTGCATAATCTGATTTCAGAATGAAATTATGAATATATATTCGAATATTTTATGGCAAGTTTTTTTCGCATCATAATAGGACTTTTAATCATAGAGATTTTTTTTGTATTAAAAATATGAAAATAGAATTGATTTTTATTTTTTTTTAATAAATTTCTATGATATAAAGACAAATATTTAAATCAACATAAATTATCAAATATACTAATCCTTATAATCTTCATTTATTTAAAGATTTAACTATAGAAATAATTGTAATACATAGATCATCATCAGTGAAATATTTTATCAATATGTAATCTTGTTTTTTTTTTTGTAGATGAAATTTTTATTTAATATGAAATTGCATTTATATAAAGAATGAATAATTCGTAAGTTTAATTTGATTATATATATATAAAGAAATTTTTTTAGTTTTATCTATTCAAATGAAATAATTTAGAATTCCTTCTATTAATAGTCTTTTATTAAATTTAAAATCTACAGTTGAATTATTAATTCAATTTCGAGGTGATTCATTAACAACAAAATATGGTGCTATTGAAAGATTTCGATTAGTTATTTTGGCTATTCTTACACATTGTCTTAAACAAGTATGTTATTATTTCATATATGAATAATAGAAGTTTGATCTTTTTTTGGAAGAAAATCATATCTACTATTCATGCTTTATCGTTAAGTTTCAATAGAAATTTGTGGTTTTTATCATAATTCAAGAGAATAGACTCTATATCAATCAAATGAGTACTTAGTAAAAAAACGATATTTTTAGTTTTTGAGAGTTTTCAATTAGACAAATATATTGTATTCAAACCTAACTCATGTTTTATTATAAAACATGATATAAACGTACTGTTTAAGTGCATGTGTCAAAAGTTTACTTCCTCCCACTCCCACAAACTACGACAGACATTAACATATGAACCAGAACACATAAATAATGTCTCGTTACAATAATATGAAGTTTTTTCTTATTATATTTGTAAAGAATTGAGTAAAAACATAGTATATAGAAATATGTCCCAAAAATAGATAATATAAAACAATCTTTCTATGATTAGTAACAACAGCCACATTGTGTTTCATATCTGAATCCCATAGGACTTGTACTAACAGTTTTTTCTTATTACCTTCGGTCCACTGATCAATGTATTCATATTTTGGATAGCTAAATAAAATAAAAAAATTGCCAGAACATGTTAATAATTATTTACTGTCATCATCAAGATATTGAATATATATATATTAGATTAAATTGTTTTACATGGAAAAATTCGAAAAACAATATGATTATATTGCTTTTCTAAGTCTAGTTTTTTTTTTTCTTTTTACTGATAATATATATGATTTGTAGTTATATTCGTTTTACAAAATAATATAATATTGAAAATAGTTGTATAATAAATATTATAAAATTTAAAGTAAAAATTGATTATAATTAATTATAAAAAAGGTAAACTAGATTTTACGAGTCAATGATCTATTAATAATTTTCTAGTATATATCATGAAAAATTTTCGATTAAAATATGATTTCTTCGTTGTTTGGTTTTCTTTTTTTATTCTTTTGATAAGAATATAATTTAATGAGAGAGAGAGAGAGAGAAAGCATTTGATATAAAGACAAATCTATTATCTCTTAAGAGCTATTTCCTTTTTCTTCATTCATAATTCAATTGAATTCTTAAAAATAATACTAATTAATGCGTAGACAAATAAAAAAAAGCTCGATTGATAGTTATATCTCTTTAGAAAACTAAAGTCAATTATATAGTAAATAAAAAAAAATTGATTTTGAATAGATTTTCAAAAATTAAAACAAGAAAAATTTCATAATTCATAAAATTATGATATTGAATAGATTAAAAAAAACACTTAAAATAATCTATGCACTAACTATTCTTTTGTATTAAATAAGTCTTAATAAAATAGCAGAAATGATTTGCATTTATTTACAGTTGAGAAATATTAATTTCATTTTTAGATCTGTATTATATGTTGTTGTTGTTTTTTTACTTAAATATATTTTATCATAAAATTTAATAAAATCTTCATTTATATCGTAATTCATCTTGTAATCAAAAACAAAATGAACTATGTGAAAATTATTCGAAATTTGAATAAATAGTTCTAATATAAATCAATAATTATATTGATCATTAAACATATAAAAATTTCGATGTTCATTATTATATCAATGAAATTAGAATTATTAATAAAGAATAGATATATATATACAGACATGATAATTAATAAGAATATAAAATGAACGTGTCATATATATCCGAGTATGACTAAACTAAAATAGATTTTTTAGATCTTATTTTTAATTATAACATTAAAATTCTACAAAAAGAATTCGACTCCTAGATTCTTTCTCTCTCTCTATATGTTTTTTTTTTTGTTATTGATAGAATACACAAGATATCTATGAACAATTATGGCAATTAATTGTACGTTTAAATGCAAATTCTCAACGATATATACGTTTACTACAAGATATATATCATAAAGAAAATATTCGATTATCAGTTGAACAATGGATTGATCAATCAGTTATAAGTCAATGTTTATCTCAACAATTATCCTGTGCTGAACATGATAATGATTTACTTGAACAATATTATTATCGTAAGTTTTTTTTTCAAGTTTCTTTTTCGTTTTTATTTATTCTCTGCTGTTTGGAATAAACATTTTTAAGATAATATTATTTTTTGTTTTTAAAAAGTAAACACATATACGTCTAACGTCGACGACCAATATAAGGACGCATATTTTTTGTAAAATGATGTTTCGAATCGGGAATAAGAAGAATATAATCACCATTACGAACCATATAAAAACCTGTACCACGTTCATTACGTTCTAAATAAATATTGTCATTTTCATTAATCAAAGTTTTTTTATTTAACAAAAACCAATCTCGATGTTTAATATCATTGTTGTCGTTGTCGGTATTTTTATTGTTAATTATTGATAAAGATGATGAATAAAATGGATAGGCATTTGACATAGATGGTAATATACAGCAAATGAATAAAACAAATAATAGGAGTATGATGACGCGGCTATGCGATGAAGAAATTTTGTTAGCCGTTGTAACGAAGAAGAAGAGCATTGATTGATGTTGCATACTCTTCTTCTTCTTTCCTTGTTTTTTTAATGTGTTATTGGACTGTATGGTTCAACGTTCTTCGTGTTTTTATTCTATGCTGATATAATAGAGAAAAAAAAAGGATATAATGAAATAGACAGATGATAGATAGATAGGAAAAGAAATAGTGAATGATGGATTCGAAGTGTTATATTTTTATGATTCTCAATATATACGGACAACAATCGTATTATTTTTTTAGTTTTCTCGTGGGAATACGATATGATCTTTAATTGTGAATGAAACGAAAGAATTTTTCAAATAGTGAAAAAAGATAATAAAATAGTGCGAGTCTTTTTTTAAATAGTAGTTCAAATTACATAAAAATGACGTTGACTAATTTATTTCTCAATTATTTTGTCTTTGCTTACGTGTTAATGTTAATAGAAAATGTGCTAAATATTTTTTTCTTTTTTGATTAAATATCGAAAAAACAAAAGTGATTTCAACAGAAATTGATTTTGTTGTTTTTTATTAATACTTTTTTTCTATAAGATTTAACGAAGACGGAAGGAAAAGAATACGAACGTGATCATAGAATTTACGTATATTTATGAACTATTATAATGATGATAATAAAGATTAAAATATCAGAAGAAAAAAAAAATATTTTGGTAGAGAAGAGCCTCAAGTAAAAATTCTTTGACAATATTAAAAAGAAGACGACGAAAAAAAAACTGTAGTCAAACAATAAGTCATAGATTATCATTTCTTTTTTTTTTTCTACCGAAACCTATAAATAAAATCTTTCAAAGTCTAAGCATGGATTGTTCTTTTTTTTTTGTATAATCATGTCAGAAAAGAAAAAAAGATTTGATAATACAATGAATGACATTGAGAATAGAATTAGGATTCCA